GCTGGTGGCCACAGGAGTCACCCAGTCTGGAAGGGATGACTGGGCTCTGAGGTGTGAATGTGTTCCCCTGGGCCTGAGCAGATGAAGTATTGGGCTCACCACTGAGCCACTGCCTGGCCCCACAGGGTGCTGGTCCCTATTAGACTCCTGGCAACCCCAGGGAGCTTTGCCAGCCCCAGCCACGTGTGCAATGAGCTGCCTTGGAGGGGGCTGTAAGACCACAGGCACGAGGTAATTCCCTCCCAGCCTCTGGGAATGGTGCAGGGTCCTGGCAGCCCCAGGTGCCACTAAACCCGAAGGACCACGCCTTGCCGTGATGTTCCAATGAAGCCTCTGGTTCTACACTGGACTTTGACTCCTTCTCTTCCTGCACCTGCAGCCCCACAGCCCCATGGGATCCCCACAGCCCCACAGGCACCAACAGGGGTTGAATGGAAGACATGTCCCAAAAATTGAAAAAACGCCTTCTCCAAATTACTTCCTGCACCCTAAAGGAGCCGGGTCTGAGAGTTCAGCTTGGTGCCAAAGGAAAAGCAAAACTCATCCTGCAAATTCCATTGTTCTTGGAGAAGCAGAAGCATGGGCAGGAGACATGCCATTGCTTAGAGCTTTTTTGGAAACCTACAGTACTGGGGTGAAATACGTGACCCTCAATAAACAGGTGGGGACCCCTCAGAGCCGGTCCTGGGGCTGCCACATCCCCATGTGCTTCCTGGCCCCAGAGCCTCCTCTGAGCTGGGGGGTCCCGGTGCTGTGCCATGCCAGTCTCAGCCAAACCAAGACGTGGGCTGCTGGTCATCCACCGTGGAGACAAGTTCCTGATGTCCCACAAGGCCACCAGCCCCGCTTGGAGCGGCACCAGCCACCAGCCATGCCCTCAGAACACCTTCCCAACCCCCCTGCACAGCCTGCACCCGCAGCCCCTGCAGGTCACCCCACCTCTGTCGCGGTGTGTCGCCGGCCCCCAAACCCATTCATTGCGGAGAATGGCCCAAGATGCCCTTAAAAGGCCAAAATTCGGCGGGGCCGGGGGTGCCGGTGCTGGCAGGCGGCAGCTGCGGTGCCCGCGCGGGGCTGCGGCGGCGCGGCCGGGGGGGTGCCGGCCCGCAGTGTCCCCTTACACGGCTGTTTCCATACTTAGCCGCCCCCCTCCCGGCTGCGCGGCCGCCGGAGCCCGGCCAGGCAGAGAACCAGCCCAAATTAACTCAAGGGCAAGCAAGGGTACCAGCGATGCCGCCCCGCCGCGCTGCCCCGGGGACACCCGGCCGGGTAGCGGGGGACGAACCGGGGATGGGACAGCCCGGGGAAGGGGATCCGGGGTCCTCAGAGATCCCCAGAGCCCTGGCACACCCTCCCCCCCCCAGCCCCCCCAGTCCAAAATCAAGCCACCGTGGCAGGCACAGGTGACACTGCCCCAAGGCATGTCAGCGGCAGCACGGCCCCTGTGCCCAACGTGACTCTGTAAGAGGGACCCCAATCTGCACCTCCCGCCATCCCCTCCTGTCCAAAGCCCCCCAGCACATTTCCCTGCACATTTCCCTGCACATTTTGGGGTGACCCTGCAGCCTTGGAAAAGCTGCTGGGGAGCCCGGACCCCTGTACCCCTGCCACCCTGTCCTGCTCCAGGGCTGGGCTCACTGGGCGCCCCAGAGCCTCTCCTGCACTCTCAGTCCCACAGGCACCCATAATTCTATCTGAAACCCTGCAGGGCCCCCACGGACACCCACAGGTACCTGCAGCCCTACAGAGAGTCCCAAAGGTACAGAGCCCTACCCAGAGTCCCAAAGGTGCTCACAGCTCCACAGTCACCCGTGTCCCCACAGGCACCTCCTCTAGGTACCCACAGCCCCATAGGCACCGACTGCCCCACGGACATCCAGGGCCCCATGGGCACCTGCGGCCCTACAGGGATCCCACGGCGCCTTGGGGTTGCCACAGAACTGTAGGAACCCTCAGCCCCACAGGCACCTACAGCCCCATGAAGTCACCCAGCTCTGTGGGAACCCCCAGCCCCATGAGGACCTGCCAGCCCCGTGGGGTTGCCACAGTCCCAAAGCACCCCCAGCCCCATGGGGACCCCATAAACCTGGGCACCCCCAGCCCCAGAGGCACCCTCAGAGTCCCCACAGCCCCAAGGGCACCCCCAGCCCCGTGGGGACCCCATAGCCCTGCCAGCAGCCACAGCCCCCGGGCACCCCCAGCCCCCCGGGGTGCCCCCAGCCCCGGGGAGCCCCAGCCCGGCTGTACCTGCGGTGCCGAGGAGCAGGAGCGAGGCCACGCAGCAGCAGAGCAGGTTGAGGCCCTTCATGGTGGCTGCCAGGAGCTCCCTGCCGCTCGCTGCCTCTATTTATACGGCGTCGGCGCGGGGCAGGGCAGGCAGGGCAGGCAGCTGCCCGCACAGATGCTGCTGCTGCTGCTGCCGCTCCTCCGCTCCCAGGGGCCCTGGGGATGGGGACAGAGATGGGAATGGCTCGTGTCAGGAATGCGGGGACACCTCCGGGCATGGGGACCCTGGGCTGGCACTGCTCATGTGGGGGCACAGTGCCCATCGCAGTGATCGGAGAAAGGGCTGTTTCTCTTTATGCGAGTGAATTCCTGCAGGGTTCCTCTGGACACTGTCCCCAGAATCCTGCTGGTGTGGGGTAGCGGGGCTCCTCGGGCTGCCTGCAGCTCCTTTTGGGCTGCAGCGGGGTTTTGTGGAGAGGGAGAGCTGAGCATCACCACTCTGCAGTGTCCTCATCTGTCCCCAAAGGTGGATGGATGTCCCCAAGCATCACATCCTGGGCTGATCTGATGTCTCCTGCAGCCACCACAAGTAACCAACTCCAGGCAATGCCAAAGGAAACAGGCCATGCTCCTGCCACCTTGATGGGGATGTCCCCACTGGCACTACACTGGCAGCGTGGCACAGGACACAACGTCACCAGCACCTGGCACTCTTGCTTGTACAGAACAGCTGCCAGAGCTGTCCCCTAAGCTTGGTCATGGCAGAGTGACCCCTGGGCTCTGTGAGTGCAGGAGCCATTCTGGGGGGGCTGTGACCCAGCTTTTTCTCCGGGAAGGGGGCAAACAACAGTTCCCCAAGAGTGGGAGCAGGGGGAGACCCTGAACCCAAGATGGGGGGGTGGGAGGGGGGCAATGGTGTGGAGCAGGGGCAGGGGCTGATGGATCAGAGCAGGCAGGAGCCACCCCTTGGCTGGACACCAGAGATGGCCATGGAGTGGAGGGCACTGGGAGGGACCCACAGCCATGGGAGGATGTGGAGAGATGGGTGCTCCATGGGAAAAGAGAGGTGCCACCCTCAAAAAAAACATGGAGAGAGATGAGTGCCCCCACTCCTGGGGAAGGGAGACACAAAGTCTGACTGCAGTCCCCCCCTCAGCTATGTGGCCTCATTAAAACCAGCCCAGATGTCCCCCCACCTCCATCTCAGCACTGAGCTGAGCCCTGATGTGCTCATCACATGTGGGCAGCACTGGCAGGGCTGAGCCTTTAAACACAGCCTGGCTGCTCAGCAGGACCCACACCAGAGCCAGGACCAGCATTCTCTGCCTTTGCCTCCTGCCATGATTCCCAGTGCAGGCAGCATCCCTGCCCTCCCCACAAGCCCCCAGAGGGACCAGTGTCCATCAAAGTGGGATCCATCCCTGTCCCCACAAATGTTAATGCCGGCACAGAGCTTCTAAAAAACCAAGTACAAACTTTATTTTGTTTCTTTACAAAGGCACGAGCCTCTTTTTTTTTTTTCAACTTTCTTAACAAAATAGAATAGCTTCTCAATCAACACAAAGACCTGAAAATTGTAAAAAAAAAAAAAAAAATACAAAAAAACCCGAAACAAAACAAAAA